TTTGTAGTATATAATTTATTATAGATACTTTTCATCGCTACTGCAAAATATTTTAGTTAATTCTTTTTTTTTATTGATTTTCAGAGAGGAGGGAGAGAAGGAGAAAAGTTGATTTGTTGTTCCACTTATTGATGCGTTCATTAGTTGATTGTTGTATGTGTCCTGACCGGGTTCATCCACAACCTTGGTGTGTCGGGATGATGCTCTAACCAACTGGACTACCGGGTCAGAACCAGTTCGTTCTTTTTTTTTTTTAAGATTTTATTTCTTTATATTTAGAGAGAGGGGCAGGGAGGGAGAAAGCGAGGGAGAGAAACAATGATCAGTTGCCTCTCTCACACATGCAACTGGGGACCTGGCCCTCAACCCAGGCATGTGTCCTGATTGGGAATCAAACCTGGGACCTTCCAGTTCACAAGCTGGTGCTCAATCCACTGAGCCACTTCAGCCAGGGCCAGAGCCAGTTAATTCTTGATTTTTTTATTTTAGGGGTAATGGCAGTGAAAAGAAATGTTAAAAAACATTTACTTGACGTTGAGTTTATATAAAACTTTGGCTGTAGGTTTATCTTATTTATCAAGTTTTACATACGCCAATATGAAGTTAATATACTTTTCTCCAGTAGAGTTCAATTGATGGAAGTGAAAGGTAGTTTCAGAATATGCTAGTAAGTCGAGGTGTTAAGGCAGAATAAACATTTTTTTAAAAATCCTGTGTCTAATTGATAAATGATCATTTATATCATTTTAAATAAATGGAATCAGTAGCAAAAAGCTAAAGCTTTTGTAATCAGAGTTTTATAGTGGGTTCTTTTGTAAAGGTGATTGTGATGTAAATATTTTTTTCAACTTTGTTTCAGGAAAATCAGAGACAGTGCCAGGCTGCCCCTTTATCTTTATCATCCGGAAGGATATAGACGTTTACTCTCAAATCTTGAGAAAACTCTTCAATGAATCCCATGGAATCTTTGTGGGCCTTCAGAGAATTGAAGAGGACTTAACTGGAAAATCCAGAAAAGCTCAGTAAGTAGGCTGTTACCAGGTGTTGAAGTCACAACTCAGTTGTGAAAAGCCAAGATGAAACGTGCTCTTGCCCTTCTGTACGGTGGATGGATCTCCCGGAGCAGCGAGGGACGCCTGGCCCCTCTGGGCAGCGTCAGCGCTGGGCAGCGGAAGTGGTGGAGGTGTCTTTCAGGTTGTGTGTGTATGGTGTTGTTTGACTTGCTGGCTTAGGAAGTTTTCTTTGTTTACATTCCTCCTTGTTTACTCTCCAGAGAAAATTTAGGCCAAATAAGCACCTGAGAGTCATTGAATAAGGTCCCACTATTGGTACATTTTGAAATAAATATAAAAATGAGAATTTTCAGTGAGAGTGGATCTTTAGTTTGATGATGGAAATAAATGAGAAAATATAAGTTGCAGGGAAAACAGTTTTATGATGTACATTTTAAGATCACACATATTCTCCCCTGGCTGGTGTAGCTCAGTGGATCGAGTGCCGGCCTGCGAACCAAAGGGTTGCTGGTTTGATTCCCAGGCAGGGCACATGCCTGGGTTGCGGGCCAGGTCCCCAGTGGGGGGTGCGTGAGAGGCAACCACACAGTGATGTTTCTCTCCTTCTCTTTCTCCCTCCCTTCCCCTCTCTAAAAATAAATCTTTTTTAAAAAAGACTATGCAAATCTGACTTTTCAAATTTTCAACCACTGATTTTAGAGTCCATCAGTAGGTTTCATCTGTAATAATTAATGTCAGTGTGGACTTGTGGATAGTTATTTTATTCTAAGTATTATATTGTATTTATTCTGTTGCTCAACTTTTCCTGCTTTGGCCATTAGAAGCCCTTTCCGTTTGGCTTCTGTCTTTCGGCAGCTCCTGCCACCTACTTACTCTAACGCTCTGTCCCCAGCACGGTGTTTCAGGCTCATCTCTTGTGTCATTTCATTTCTGCAGATTGGTCCGAGTTAGTAAAAACTACCGCTCAGTCATCAGAGCGTGCATGGAGGAGATGCACCAGGTTGCAAGTAAGGATTGTGTGTCTGGGTGCGTGTCACAGTAATCGAAGTGTTTGTCTGGGGACAGATACTACAAGATAAAGCCTGACTGACGTTCCAGTTGGAAGCTCTTTCCTGTCTTAATTTTTCGTCAGTCGTCCTGAGCGTGTGCTCTTCGAGACAGAACGTACAGAGTTGGCAGGTGGTGTCAGGGGAAAGGGCCACAGGAAGGATCTTCCAAATTTGCATCCTCAGGTCTTTGACCTTGTCCCCATAATCCTGGCAGCTGTGTGACTCCTGGGTGCCAGGTAGTCCTGTGTGACTTGGCAGTCTCTCTGTTTGCTGTGTAGCAGTTACATGTGGCTGCTTTTAACTTCAGGGTCTTGGTTTGAGACTCATTGATCTCAAGCCATTTTTTAAAAAAAATCTATGGGGAAAACGACTGGCCCTTAGAAGAAACAAAGGTACAAGCCACAGAATCTGTTATGTGAAGTTACAACGATAAGACTGGAAGTTCCATTGCTCATTTAAAATGTTTTGTGTTTTGTTAGTTGCTGCTAAAGATCCAGCCAGCGGCCACCAGTTCAGCAGCCAGGTGAGGCGTCTGTCTGCCTTAGTCGTGGCTGGTGCTGTTATGACGTTCTACGACCACGGCACCCTCCTGGGCCTTTTGCAATTGCTCTTTTTTGCAGAACTCTCTATTCTTTCCAGGTACACAGGCAACTCTTTGGGGTAGTAAGGGTCGTCTTAAACTTCCTGGTGCCCCTTTAAGGCCTAGCTTATTGAAACAAAATATGTCCTTGATAAACACATTTTCAGAAACGTAAGCCCTAGCCACACCGCGTCACCTGGCGTGGAGAGCTGAGCATTCGGAACCGCATACATTGTGCTCAACTCGTGAAACCCGAACTTTACCAAGACGCGAGTTCTTGTACTTTAGTTGGAGCTGGGCGAGGACTTAGAGAATTCTGTCTTTGGTAGTCTTAAGTACTTTTATTTTTCAATTACAATTGACAGCCAGTGTTCTTTTCCATCAGTTTCAGGTGTGCAGCGGACTGGTTAGGGACTTATTTAAGGTACTAGGTGGCCCCCGACAGGCCCAGCACCCACCCAGCGCCCTGGACGGCTGTCACAGTCTTAAGGACTGTGGGCCCTGTGTTGCACTTGTGGTAGAATCTTGACACTGTTCAAACTCAGTGTCAAGGGTTGGGGGACCTACGCACAGTCTCTGAAGTTCACAAAGCTGTGTTTTCCCTCCTGAGAAAGCTGTTTTGTGTGTGTGCGCGCGTGAGATGGCGGGGAAGGGAGCACTTCTCTTAAAGGGAGGGTTATTTTGGGGTTTTGTGTTGGGTTTGCCTTTTCATAGACTTTCCTAAACTCCATTCCCTTGAATACCAACCTCACAGTTTTTGCTTATCCAATATTTCTTATTATATCCTCTCTCCTCTATTACTTAAGTAAACCATAATATTCATCAAGACCATGGGGGCGATGCGCTAGTTATTTTTTCTAATGCACATTAAACTAGGACCTCCACCATTAAAGTAAAGATGGTTAGTTCGTGCCCATCCCCTAAAATTCTCTTGCTGGCTGCAGGAAGCGCTGCCCTTGCCTAGATGCTCGGTGCCTGTTGACCTCCATGGGATTCTGTTCCTCTGTCTGCCGTGTTCCTTTGTCGTGCGAGGAGGTCGGGGGCCGTTCTCAGCCAAACGCCTTCTCTGTTCCCTCCGTAGATTTCCATCCTGTCGGCCATGGAGCTCATCTGGAACCTCTGCGAGATTCTCTTCATTGAAGTGGCCCCAGGTGAGCGCTGGCCCTCTGTCCCCGAGACACAGGTATCCCCACTCTTCCTCTGTCTTTCCTGTGCGCCGTGGTGTCTTGTTGCCCAGAGTGCTCCCTACATTAGCACAGCCATCAGAACGCATGGCGTGACATCCAGAGGGGCCTGTCACTTTGTCAGGTGCTGTGAGAGACTCAGGTAGAATGCCTTCCAGAAACCCAGAGTGTTAGGCAGATGACTCTTGAAAAATACCATGAAAACATATGGAAATAGTGCGTGGTCATTGACGTTTGTATCCTCGACCGGTCAAGTTCCAGCAAGTTTTTGGAGAGGCTGGGCACAGATTCTTCCTCACAGCCTGCAAGGGAACTAGCTCTGCCGACACCTTGATGTCAGACCACTGGCCCCCAGAAGTGTGAGACAGTAGGCTTCTGTGGTTAAAGAAAGAGAAAGAGAGAGAGAGAACCCCATCTGGGTAGCCCAGCGGGGTACAGCGTCGTCCTGGTCTGCTGGGGTCGTGAGTTCCATCCCCAGTCCGGGTGCACACAAGAAGCAACCAGTGCGCACACGGATGAGTGGAACGGCACGTCTGTGTTTCTTATGTCCTCCCCCCTCTCCCTCCCTTTTTCTCTCTCTAACATAAACAAAAGGGGCATGTGAGGAGGGGTCAGGCTGTGGGAGGCGAAGTCGCCTGGAGAACTCTGTCATTCATTCCCCTTCTAAAGTACCGAGCGGCCCGAGATAAAATCAGCTGTTCGTGCGCCTGTCTCTCCAGTAGATTTTGGGGGGCTGTCACTATCTGTCACTGCGTGCATAGCACCTAACAGCGCCAGCTCCGAAATGACCCTTGTTCTGTGGCCGCTGAGCACTGAACAGTGTGAAGAGCCTGAGGTGGGTCGTGGGCAGTGAGGCCTGGGCGGGGCCTGGGCTCTTGTTCAGACACATCCAGGATCCGGGCCCCTTTGCCAGTCAGGCCTTCGTTCAGGGCCACACGTGTGCTCACTTCGGAGGGAGAAACCACTTCCTGCGGAGCTTGTCCGTCTGTGGGGAAGGGCAGTGTGCTGCCCGTGAAGCTGAGCTTTCGTGTGTGACGGCTTCACTCTCCTCCCCCAGCCGGCCCGCTCCTCCTCCACCTCCTCGACTGGGTCCGGCTGCACGTGTGCGAGGTGGACAGCGTGTTGGCGGATGTTCTGGGCAGCGAGAGTCCAAGCAAACACGAGAGCTTCTGGAAGTTGGTAAGGACCCTGCGTAGGCCGGGCCTCCCTGCCCCACACTTCACGTTCTGCCTTCCCCATGCCCCGGGTGGGCCTGCGGTTGCTCACGGGCCTGCGGGCGCTCGGCCGCTCTCTGCGTCTTTCAGGGAAACATGCTAGTTTAGAACCCAGTTACCACGTAAGAAAAGTAATTTGCGGTGGGCTTTCCAGCCAGAAGGGAAATCAGTTTCTTTGTGGACCTAAAGGAGAGGAGAAATGGCAGCGGTCAGTGGAAACGACCTTGAGGGGTGGTTTTGAGAAATGCGCTAAAATGATTGTGACGGTGCACAACTCAGCAAACTCACTAAAGCTCGTTGCAATTGGGCCCGTGAATAGGCGAATGTTTATAGTGTGTGAATTACAACTAAGTTAAGCTGTTGGGGAAAACGACTGATGGTCCCAGAGTCATTTGGAGTGTCGGTTTGGAAGTCATCTCGTGTGCCAGGGGTCCCTGTGCACACCCCCCGGTGTGAGGGGGGCGCTGTTCCCACTCACCTCCGCTGACCCAGGTGGGAGGGAGCAGGGCGGGGGCTGCCCAGTGACCGGATTAGCGGAAGGCTGGGGAGGCTTACAAAGCCTGGAATTCAGGTTGAGAGGTGTCGCCTCTGAGGCTCTCGGGGCCCTTTGGTCCCGAGACCTGTGCAGGGCAGGGGCGAGCCTCTGCCCAGGGGGTACCGGGCCCGGAGTTGGAGTCCCACTTCATCCCCTCACTGAGATTTTATTCAGGGCTCCTCTTTGCAAGGCACTGGGAGAACACCCACCACTGAAGTGGGTCAGGCCCTTCTTTATGGAGAAGCTTACATCCTGCACAGAGGCAGGAAGTCGAGGTGGAAACGGGAAGCGTGTGGCGTGTCTCGTGGTGGAGTCCTGTGGAGAGAAGTAAAGCGAGGGGGGAGTTGGGAGCGTGAGAGTCGGGGTCCCAGCCCATGAGCGGGGCCCTGACGGAGGCCAGGGCGCCCGTGCAGAGGGAGGAGAAGGTGGTTCAGACAGAGAGGCCTGTGTCCTAGACGAGCAGTGGCAAGGGGCCCCGTGAACCAGGAGCGGTGGGAGCCAGAGGGAGGGTCGGGGAGCGAAGGGCAGGGAGGTGCAGGGCCGGGGGGAGGGGTTCCTCCGGCGCTGCCCCCCCCCCCACTCCAGCTTTTGGAGGGACGGCGCACTGGGGCCTGCGGGGGCCGCCGCCCAGATCACGCCCAGCTCTGCCTCTTCCCCGCCGCCGGGGCGTGAGTTACTTCATGGCCCTCGGTTTCCTCGCTGGTGCAAGGGCGACAGCAACGCCTCCCCTTGGGGCTGTCCTGACTAAATTGGTTCGTGGGCATAGTTGTGTGTAAATTAGTTGGCCGTAAAGATATTACTATATCTACTAGATATAGTGAAGAGCTCCTGTTTTAGTCATTTTTTAAAACGTTGACTGTAGAGAGAGGAAGGGGGAGACTGAGAGACCCACGGCCATCCGATGTTCCACTTATCTCTGCATTCACTGGTTGATTCTTGTGTGTGTCCTGACCGGGGATCGAACCTGCAACCTTGGTGCATCAGGACAACAGTCTAACCAGCTGAGTTACCCAGCAAAACAGTTGGCGCTACACAGATTGCAAAACAGACTCTGTTGAGTGTGAGAGCTGGTCCAGGGAGACGGCACTGCCTTGCTCAGCTGGGCGCGTGCACGCCTGCCGACTAGCCTTTGCAGCTCTGCACGTGCCTACAAGTGCGGGGATGGCACCTCAAACAATGGCTTTGGGGGTGCAGATACATTTTAGCAAGTAGGCAAATTTACAGATGTGGACTCTAAACAAAGAGGATTGAGCCCCAGCCTTCAACCCAGAAGGTCGTCAGTTCGATTCCTGGTTAGAGCACATGCCTGGATGGCAGGCCGGGTTTTGTGCAAAAGGCAACCAGCGATGTTTCTCTCCTTCCCTTCCCCCTCTTTAAAAATAAGCAAAAAAAGAGGGTCGTCTGCATTTATATCAAGTGTGTATTTGAAACTTTTACAAACCAATAATTTATTTGATTCACTTTGCTATTTTCTATTTCATTTTTTTTTTAAAGTTGGTCACAACCTACCATGGGTTGCAGTGTCAGTTTGAGACTGGAGGAGCGAGGTCGTCTCTGGAGGGTGGGAACCACCTACCCTCCCACCCGCGCTTCCCCGGGGTTAGGAAGCCACGGTGCGGGGTTGAGGGGTTGGCTTCCAGGCAAACACTCACGTGCTCGGGTGCCCCCGCAGGTGACCATCTTGGTGCTGCAGGGCCGGCTGGACGAAGCCCGACAGATGCTCTCCAAGGAAGCCGACGCCAGCCCCGCCTCCGCAGGCGTGTGCCGCGTCCTGGGGGACCTGATGAGGACGATGCCCATTCTCAGTGTACGTGGGAGCAGCGTGCTCGGCTGCCTCAGGAGAAACGGGTCCATTTGGGAAGCACTCGGGGTTTGTGCGGCGCTGGCGTCTCACCGAGTCTCTCCCGCAGCCTGGAAACACGCAGACGCTGACGGAGCTGGAGCTCAGGTGGCAGCACTGGCACGAGGAGTGCGAGCGGCACCTCCAGGACGGCACGTTTGCTTCCAGCCCGCAGCTGGAGTCTCTCTGCAAGGTGTGGGAAGGAGTGTGGGCCGGGGACCGGGAAGGCTTCCCCCACAACCCATGGCGTGCAGTCCAGTGGTGGCGGAAACGTGGTCCTCCGGGACCATCTGTTCTCTGCCGGGGGCAGGGCGGGGGGTTCGGCCCAGGTGCGCCCACGGCATTCATGGCACACGTCCCGGTCCTCAGATCATGCTGGGAGATGAAGCCGCCTTGTTGGAGCAGAAGGAGCTTCTGAGTAACTGGTACCACTTCCTAGTGACCCGGCTCCTGTACTCTCACCCCACAGTGAAACCCATTGACCTGCACTTCTATGCCCAGGTGAGCCGGAGCTGGGGGCGGGGAGTGGGAGTCCTGGGCTCTGCCCCCCACGGGGTCGTTTTCAGTGTGTGGCCCCGCTGAGTTGAGCCTCCATGGAGAACCGGAAGGGGCGTCCCTTTGGCCCTTTGTGAAGGACCCCGTCGCCTGTCCCTGGGGCTCCCTCTGTGGCAGCCCTGCCAGCCCCTCGAGTCTCTGCTCCCATCCAGAGACTGAGCGGCCCCCACCTCTCCGCAGTCCAGCCTCGACCTGTTTCTGGGAGGTGAGAGCAGCCCAGAGCCCCTGGACAACATCCTGATGGCGGCCTTCGAGTTCGACATCCACCAGGTGATCAAGGAGTGCAGGTAGGGCCGCGGCCCCCAGCGCCGTCTTCGGGCGGGCTCGGCGGCGTGGGACCCATGCCCCTCGTGCCCGTCACCGCTGCCCTTTTCCAGATGCCCTGTCCCTTCTTGCCGGCGTCTTAGTCTTCTTCCTGCAGACCTCTTTAAGTCTTTATGTCTTAAAACATGTCACTCTCTTGCTTAACGTCCCAGCGGCTTCCCATCACAAGTCCCTGAGCGAGCTGGCCTCTGCGTCACTCAAAGATCGAGTCACACAGGCCCCATTCTGCAGTGGGGTCGCCAGGCCTGTGCTCCACCCTGGCCGCCCCTGGCTGTCTCCTGGGTCTCGGGACGGCCCTTCCCCTCGAGTTCCTGTGGCAGGCTCCCTGTGCTTCAGTCCTCTGCTCGGATAACCGGTCTGGTGGCCGATTTCCTGCATGGAACTTACTCCAGGAGGGGTGGGGACGCGCATATGTCTGTATATGCGAGGAGGTGACTTTTCATTTTTAGTTTTTTTAAGATTTTACTTTTAGAGAGAGGGGAAAGGAGAGAGAAAGAGAGAGAGAAACATCAGTGTGTGGTTGCCTCTCGCCCACACCCTTCTGGGAGCCTGACCTGGCCTGCAACCCAGGCATGTGCCCTGCGTGGGAATCAAACCGGCAACCCTTTGGTTCACAGGCCTGCACTCAATCCACTGAGCCACACCAGCCGGGGCAAAAGATGGTTTCTTTATACAAAGCATTAATAGATACCTAAATACAAGATGGCTTTTAATGAAATCACATGTACGTAGTTAATATTAACAAAATTAATATCAACAGCTATACAGTCGAAGACATCAGCACATTCAAATGCAAACAGATGCTCCTAAATTCCATGTTGCGTCAGGCGTCAGGAACCACCAGTCTCGTGCACTATTCTGTGTCCACGTCCTCTGCGTGTGATTGGATCCCTGGGTTTTATCTCACTGTGACGCGCCCCATAGACACGTATCACGGGCTGCGGCTTTGGGGGTTGAACTCCTGGGCGCCTGGCATCAGTCCCCACGTTGCTAGGAGAAACCTCTCACCCTCTGCCCCGCACAGATTCTGGCTCACCGCTGCCCCTTCCATTCTCTTTGTCCCTCTCATTCTTTTTAAGCAAAGGTCAGGTGGGGTTCCCGCTCATGCCCCACTTGTGTGGGCCATGGCGTCTCACTCGAACTTCCCTTCTTGCCTCGCTGTCTGAACCTGCAGCATCGCCCTGAGCAACTGGTGGTTCGTGGCCCATCTGACCGACCTGCTGGATCACTGCAAACTCCTCCAGTCGCACAACCTCTAGTGAGTGCACATGGCCACACCCATGCTCCCCCCCCCCAGGCCCTGGCGGGGGGGGGAGCGGAATTCCCAGAAGGGATGTTGGGCTGCAGAAGGGGCCCCGAATGGGACAGACCAGGGGTCTTGGTCTCACGGTGCGTTCTGTTCCAGCTTCGGATCCAACATGAGAGAGTTCCTCCTGCTAGAATATGCCTCGGGACTGTTTGCTCATCACAGGTAGGGCCACCCCAGGGGTCACAGCAGGGTGCTCTTCAGTGTGTGGGTGCCGTTGGAGGTCGGACTGTGCCGGCTGCAGTCTGGTTCCGAGTGCTGCGGTGGCCCGGAGATGAGGCCTTTTGGGCGCCAGCCCAGGGCTCCTGGGCGGCACCTGGACTCACCAGGCCCTCGGGTCTGCTCCCCTCCAACCTGTTTGCAGCCTGTGGCAGCTGGGGGTGGACTACTTTGACTATTGCCCTGAGCTGGGCCGCGTGTCCTTGGAGATGCACATCGAGCGCATCCCTCTGAGCACCGAGCAGAAAGCCCTGAAGGTGCTGCGGATCTGTGAGCAGCGGCAGATGACCGAGCAAGGTGAGCGGGCCCTCCTCTGGGCACAGCCTTCTGCGTTCACGCCATGCGAGCTAGGCTGGAAAGAGGCCAGGCCGTGGATGCCTAGGAACGTTACTGGGGAGGGCGGAGAGCTAGGGACCCTTGGGAACCTAGAAGCAATGGAGCATGTGGCCTGTTTTCAGAGTTGTCCAACCCACTTCTCCCATATTTACTCCAAGAAGTTGGGGCTGGGGTCACCTTTGAGTTTACCTGTCCCAAGCAGGTTGCCAGCTAAGGCTGGCTCTGGGCAAGCAAGACCAGAGGTGGCGTGGGTAGAACAGGGAGGAGATGGCGAATGAAGTGTGGCCTTCCCTTCTCACTGTTGAGCGAAAAAACCCAAGTCACTCTTCCCAGAGGCACCTGATGCAGGTACTGGAAGAGCTGACGTGTGGGGAGCAGTATGTATCTTATCTGCCACCCCTGAAATCGAATCAGCTCACGAAGCCAGTCCTGTCGGGGGTCAGAACTGTGACCAGTCACGAGGCGGCCGTTTACACCCAAGCTCCTGGGGCTACTGACCGGGCTGTGTTCGAGGCCCGTGGGGTGGGCTGTGGGAAGCCGAGGGGAGGCGGGAAGGCCACTGCCAGCCCAGCAGGACCTAGGAATGGGGTGGTTTGTATGCAGACTGACAGGTTTGCCTCTGCTCTTTTCCCCTGCAAAGTTCGCAGCATTTGTAAGATCTTAGCCATGAAAGCTGTCCGCAACAACCGTCTGGGCTCTGCCCTGTCTTGGAGCATTCGGGCCAAAGATGCTGCCTTTGCCACGCTGGTGTCAGACAGGTGGGCTCAGCCAGGGTTGGCTCCCCGGGGGCTGGCGGGGAGTGAGGGGGCTGAGGAGGGGGCCTGGGGTGCCGCTCTCATCTCCGGGCCTGTGTTTCAGGTTCCTCAGGGATTACTGCGAGCGGGGCTGCTTTTCCGACTTGGACCTCATTGACAACCTGGGGCCGGCCATGATGCTCAGCGACCGGCTGACGTTCCTGGGTGAGTCTCTCCGGGCTGACCCTCTGGCACAAAAGGTTGGTTGTGGAGATGGGAGGCGCCGTTCTGGGTTTCTCCAGTGTTCCCTTTCTGTTAAGCCCAAACTCCAAAGCCCACAGAACCCTGTGCACCAGGCTCTGCAATGCATATTTTTCAGTAATATTTTATTTTCCAATAATTCCAGACTTAGAGAAAAGTTGCAGAAGTTGCGTAAGGAACAGGGAACTGTAAGCTGTACCCAAATCATGAGACTTTGCCTTATGTGTTTTGTCACTGTCCGTCAGCTGGGTTTTCAGGAACGGTTTGGAAGGAAGTCAGGGACACCATTCCCCTTTCTCCGCGAATACTTGGGCATGTGTCTCCCGGGAATATTCCCTTCCATCAGCACATCTGTGAAAATCCCGGGGTTCAGTGTCGGTACAATAGTCTCGCCCAACCCACAGTTCACATGCTGATGGCAGTTGTCCCACTGATGTCCTTTCCGGCGTGCAGGTTCACGAATTTTGTTGTCACAGTTTTTAAGTGCCTCTGTCTTTCCTGGTGCTTCCTGACCTTGGGATTTTGAAGAGTCAGTTCAGCTGTTGTAGAACGCCCCGAGTGCTGGCGTGTCCGATGTTTCCTCGAGGTCGGGTTTAGGTTCTGTGTTTGGGGCAGGAAGGCCCCCAAGGCGGTGCACCCTTTCGGTGGGGTCACTTTGCTCACGCGGTGGAAGTGGCGTACAGCCAACGTCTCCTCTGCAGCACGGGCTTTCCCTTGGACTTAAGGACTCGTGCAGACACTTTGGAATTGCTTAGTGTCTTATCCCTGATCAGACTTTCACCTGCTGCTTTCAGGAGCTACTGCCATTTTCCGGCTCCCGATCCTTGTGTTTTCGTTGGCATTCCACCCTATGGAAGGCCTTCCCTGTGTCGTGTGGCTTTTATTTACATCAGTAATGGACTCGTGGGTTAGTTTGCCATAACCCACGATTCTTATTTTAATGCTTGCATGCTCCCGGGTTTGGCTGATTGGAGTCCCTTCAAAGCCACGCCTGTGTTTTGAATCCATTTGTGGTCTCATTGGTCCCTGGGTTGGATGCAGCTTTGGAACAATCTCTGCTCTGTGGAGGGGCTGGTCTGGAGCCTGTCTTCCCTTGTCTAGGGCCAGAGGTGATCTAGTGCGCTTTTCTCAATAGGAAAGTATCGTGAATTCCACCGACTGTATGGGGACAAGCGTTTTGTTGACGCGGCTTCTCTTCTCCTGTCACTGATGACTTCTCAGATTGCCCCCCGGTCTTTCTGGATGACACTTCTAACGGATGCCTTGCCCCTTTTGGAACAGAAACAGGTACAGGTGGAGCCCACAGTGCTTTCTTCTCTGCGTGTGTAGTCCCTGACAGTGCTTCGTTCTGTAGCCGGTACAGGTGGCCAGCATCCATCACCTCCTTGGGTGGGGCTCCCCATGGTGCCCACCCTGGAAATCTAGTATCTGCACAAGAAAAACTGTTTCATTCGGAATGAGGCAGTTGCTTACTGACCATGCCCAGCCCAGGGCGCAGGGAGGGAGAGTAGGGGTGCTCTGCCCTCTGAGGACTTAAGTGCAAAGCACACTCCACTCCCCGCCGCTCCCCTCAAGGCCATGCAGGGAAGGCCATCTGAACCGGGGCCCAGGCCCAGCCAGTGTAGGCCTTGGCTGGGGCAGCTTAGCAAAACAGCGTCTCCCTCCCCTAGGTGATTTTTTCAGCAGATCAAACATACGAGCTGCTGCGGTGTCTGGAGGACCTGACCTCAGGAAGACCAGTGCATGGAGAGCCCAACCCCCTGCAGCTCCAGGTGACTGGGGCTCCGCTGGTTCAGTGGAGAGGAGAAAAGGCTCCCCCACCTCCTCCCAGACGCCGGCTCCTCAGACTCAGTGCCCCTTGTACTACTTCCAAACCTGGAACTGTGGCGCGTGTGCTTTTTAAGGAAAACTGGGGTGATTATAGTGTTCTGACCTCTGGGTTGTTTTTTTACCCCCCGTTAATCGGTTGTTGTGGTCCTTCGCATTCAGCAGGTACATTGAGAACTGTGCCGGAAGCTGTTGCTGAATGTTGAATGACCCGCATCTGCCTTTGGAGAGTGAGCCCTTGGGAGCTTTAAAGGAGGACCCCTTCCGGTCCCTCACGCTGCCCCTTTCTGCTCTCAGGATGACGACATAGAGGCCACCAAGGTGGAGATGCTGCGACTGTCTCTCGCACGAAACCTGGCTCGGGCCATCGTCAAAGAGGGCTCGCTGGAGGGCTCCTGAGGCAGGCGGCCCGGCATGGGACCTCTGTGTGGTGTGTGGGTGTTTTTAAAAGAATAAATGTGCCCTGGCTGTGTGTAGCTCAGTGGATTGAGCACAAGCCTGCGAACCAGAGGATCGCGGTTCGATTCCCAGTCAGGGCATATGTCTGGGTTGCAGGCCGGTTTCCTGCAGGCCAGTTCCCAGCAGGGGACAAAAGAAAGGCAACCATACATTGATATTTCTCTCCCTCTCTCCTTCCCTTCCCCTCTAAAATAAATAAAATCTTTAAAAAAATAATAATAAATGTCTTCTTTTGCAAACGTAAGGTAAGTTCCTAAAGACCTCAGCCAGGAAGTTTTTATGTACCTCCCCTGTGGAGGTAGTGAAAATTAAGAAAATGCTCATTATGTTTCTCTGACATGAAACTTTACCTCCCTCGAGGGAAAGGCGCCCCCACCAGGGAACGGTAAGTGCAGAGCTCACCTGCCCGTAATTAGAACCTCAGACGGGCCTTCAGGGGTTTGCTTGTGCTTCTGAAACCTGGGCTCACCTCAGACTCACCCGAAACACTGGTCCGTTAACTCCCTGGTTATCTCCTTTAAAGGAAAAGACCCGGGAACCTGCACCGCTCACCTAACACCTAGGTGCTGCCCACGTCTGGAAGTCAGAAGGGGCACTCCCCCCACCCCGTGGGGTGAATGGGGTATTAGGAGGATTCCAAGCAGGGTGGAAATGATTTTATTTAACATGCAGCAAAATAAGGGCAGCAGAATCGGTATATCCAGTATAGCTGTCACAAAACAGCGACCCCAACAGTAACACTCATAAATAATTTTAATGTCTAAAGCTTATATAAAGGTGCGTTTCCATGGAGTAACCCCACAGACTTCCCAGGGCTGCAGCAGCTGGTCTCAGGAAAGCTCCTGGATTTACTCCTTAAGTAGTGAAATCAATTCACTTTTGACCTATCCTAGTGAAGCAGTGAAACCTGCTTGATACAGATGGAGGGGAGGGGGAAGGTGACCTCTGGATTGAGGCAGGAAGCCGGGCAAGGCACAGGGAGGGTCAGGGAGCAAGGCTTGTGCCACCGTCCATGGAGACGGCTGAGCCCATCCAGCTGGGCTCTGGTGAGCTGTGCCACTTCCCCAGCTGGCGGTTCTCACTGTCCTGCCATCCCAGGAAGCCCAGAGGCGAGCACAAGCTGGCTGGGATGAGCACTGTTGAAGCAATAGGGCCGGTGACTCAACTGCAGCACAGCCCCCAATCTCACCACCTGCAGACCCAACATCTCGCTGACAGCGCCCTTCAGCAGCCGGGTGCCGTTTTCACAGCAGGTAAGTCTAGCACGTCTGACCCCGAGGCCTTCTGTTCCAGTCTGTTTACTGTGTCACAGGCTGTCTGAGGGGATGGGGGAGAGGCCAAAGCAAGAGGACGCAGAGGGGCAGGTGTCAGAAACTCGAAGGGCAGGACAGCAGTCCGTTTCATGCCAAGCAAGAGGTAGTGAGTAGGCGGGCCGGTTCCCACTGTGAGGCGCACTTCTCCCAGGGGAAGCACCGGTTCTCTTCCACGTTCTCTCCCAGCCTCATTCAGCCTGCCCCGAGGCCCAGGTTGGTTTCTAACAGGCTGAGTTGTGCATCCTGCTGAGATGTCCATAGGACACTGCCTGCCACCACCAGGGACAAGCACACACTTATCATCCAGTGGCCCTTCCAGGCTGATGCTGCCAATGATAGGCAGCACAACTCCTTTCTCTGTGCCCAGGCCCACTGGGAACCTCTGGGCTTCACCCCCTCCCTGGAGGTAGGAGTAGCAGCCTGCCAGCAGGGGGAGCACAGAGCAGCATGGCAGGTGTGGGAGAGCTGAGGCCTTGGAGCGGGTCGGGGTGTGAGGACATGGTCCTTGAGGAGGGCCCACAAGGCTCTTCAGAGACGACCTCCCTGTGGCACTGAGGGATGTGAGCATATGGGGAAACCTAGTCAAACCTTGGGTCCGTGTCCCCAGGGGACGGTGCAGGGTCTGGGGCCACAGCCCACCCCACAGTGCATGGCCACTTCAAGTCACACAGGTAGATAAAACTGGGTCCTTTTAAGGGGCCAAAGGAGGAGAGACCATCACAGCAGCATCTCGGGCCCTGGTGGCAATGCCCAGGGCCCCTGCCCCGTACCGAACCTCTACGCACTGCAGTCAGGACGTGAACGACTAGACTCAGCCCTCCAGTCTCAGGGCCACCTGCTTGGTCTTCAAAGTGGAGATGACAGTGTCCTCCTGGGTCATAGGTTGCCCCACTGCTCCACAGGAGGGAACTGGTCCACCTCACCCACCTCTGTGCTCAGCTGCTCCCCCAGGGCGAAAGTCAGCTTGTACCGAAGCCTTGCCTTCTCCTGTGACAGAAGCAGCACACAAGACCCCGTCACCTGCCAGGCCTGTGCACGCAGACCCTGTTCCCACCTCCCCATTCTCGCTCAGCCACTGAACCAGGGTGGGGAAGGGACAGGGTCAGTGCTACAGCCCGACACTAGTGGTGGGCGATGGCAGTTCCCTGCCCCAATGCCACCCTGGGACCCCCAGCTCACCTTCAGTGGATTGGCCAGCAGCATGACCTGGGTGATGGCTGCAGGTGGCTGGATGGGGCTAAATGGAGACAGTTCTGTCCCAGATGGTGGCTGCAACTTCACTTTCATTGACTACAGAGGGAAAGAGGTGGCAGCTGCTGAGACAGAACCCAGTGTGGTCACAGTGGACACACTGCCGCCTGCTGGCCACTCATACCCTCAACACAGTGCGTGGAAGACTGAGGGAATGCTTGTGTCCAGAGGCTCCAGAGTACCTTGGGCACTGCCGCTTGCAGCACGATGCTCTTGATAGGCAAGGGCGCTGTGTTCAGCATGGATACCACCACCACCAGCACATCGGGCCGTCCAGGCGGGCACTCCTTGGCAAAGTGGAAGAGGATGCGGAAACCGTTTTTATCGTAGGCTGTCACAGGAAGGGCGCTGCCTGCAAGAAGGTGGCACGTGGGTGTAGAAGAGAAGGGCTACAATCCCCGACAGCTCCGGGGGTGCCCACAGCAGCCGAGCGGGGAGAGCGGCGCTCCCCAAAGGAGTCTGGGGAGGAACCTCTGCCGTCCCACCACTGGGTGCACGGCAGCAACAAGCAACGGCCGAGAAGGAAGCAGGTCACTTCTGACTCTGGGCCTGTACCAACCCAGCCGCTCACTCCCTGCACTGCCGCATGTCGTGGGCTCCCCTTCCCTCCCACCCGAGCCTCCAGCACCTACTAGGCTTGATAGACTCCAGGGGCACATGGACACTAGCCAGGGAAAGCTCGGGCCCCTTCACAGGGCTCCCCTGGGCTGGGCAGGCGGGTGGCTGCAAGAGAGGGCTGCCAGGCCCTGTGGAGAACGGCAGGAAAGGCCTGGCTGAGGCGCCGGGAGGGACCACAGGGGAGGTGGTGGCTGCGGGAAAGAAGCTGGAGGCGACAGGTTTCACCAGGCCTGAGGTCCTGGGAAGCAGGAAGGAGGACAGCAAGTCAGAGACCAAGCACGACCGCCAGGCCAACCCCTCACAAGGTGCCCACCTCCCTAGCTTCCAGCTTCCAGCCTCAGGTCAGACTGAAAGAACATTCCATCCAACCCTCCTCCACCCGCCTTCCCCCACTGATTACACTTTGGCTTCTTCTAGAAGCTGATCGAGGGCATCCAGCTTGTTCAGGGTGCTGTCGCCCAAAGCTGAGCCATGGTACCCAGAAGCTGTGGGCTCAGGCTTTGGGGCTGAAGCTGGGGGCAGTCCAGCGGAAAAGAAAAAGCCTGCTTTTTGGGCAGAAACACTGGCTGGGACCACAGGGGCTGGGACCACAGGAGCTGGGAAGGGGGGCAGCAGTGGAGCCTGGGCATTGCTGGTGGGGGCTGCTGAGGGCTGGAGGACAGGCCCGTCTGGAGGGCTACAGGCAGCAGTCCCCGACTTGGGGCTGAAGAAGTCCAGGTCTGACTGCTCGTTCTATTGGGAAAGAGTGGAAAGTGCCGTAAGCAGGGGGTGCAGAGGGGTCCTGGCTCTCCACGCCCAGCCCCTTTGCAACCCTGCTGGCAGAGCATCCCTCCAAGGACGGGCCCCCGCCCTGAGGACAGCAGGGCTGCAGCTAACCGCAGCCAAGGACTAGTTGAGAAGGAGGACAGTACTGGTAAGTCAAGGTTGTTAAGTGTCTCGGTGATGTCACCACTGCACCCACCTGGAACAGGGGCCACTGGCCGTTTCCAGAGGACTCTTTGGGAGGAGCTGTGGCGGCTGGGTCAGCGAGGCCTGAGAACAGAGATGGCTGTGATGAGAGGAGGTGCTGGGCCCTGGGTGGCCCGGCCCCGCCTGAGGAAGGGCTACAGGAGCCAGAGGAAGTCCTTACATTTCCAGGGAGAGGGAAGGGGTGGTTCAGGGGGGATGGAGGCAGAGCAAGACACTAGATCTACCATTTCTACCCCAGAGTCCACTACGGACTGCCCTGGTAGCCTGAGGGACACTGGACTTGACTCTCCCAACCACAGCCTTCTTCCCTGTCTTGCTAAGCACACGGGACACCCCGAGCGCCTCCCAGTTCCATGCCCCCTCCTTCTCCACCAGCTCTGCTAGAGGAAGCCCTGCACGGCCTCCTTCCAGGACCCACCCAAGCAGAGCAGCTCCTCATCCAGCAAGCTCAGGGCATTGCTTGTGTTGCCGGGCCCTGGGGGGGCTTCCACCTGGCTGGAGGAGCGGCTGCTCACAGGCCCTGAGGTCTGGGGGGGTGGAGGGAGGACAGGGATGCCTGAGGAAGGTGCAGAGGGGGCCGGCGCCAACACTGGGGATGCGCTACTTGGCACGTCCAGCTCCGCCAGGTCGATGAGCACGCCTTGGTTGCCAGAGTGGTGGCTTCCTGGATGAGAGGGGGAAGAGGACAGGAATAATCAGGGACCACTCTAGCGGACGCACAGCAGGGGGCCTACTCCACAAGCCCCTGGGCTGGGCAGACTGAAAACTGAAGGCAGGTGGCGAAAGCCCTGCCCAAACCCCGGGCCTCTGGGAGGCCCCTCAGGCCCTGTGGGCCGACACTGCACTTGTGCTGGGGGCTGGGGGCCAGGGCTGTGGAGGGGCCCGGGTGAGGGCCTGAAACACTGCACCTTCAGAGTCGGGCAGGGCCGAGGTGGACACCTCACCATTGATGACCTGCCCTTCAACAATTGTTTTGTAAGAGTTGATGACCCGGGAGAGGCTGTCACTGGCCTGCAGGATGTCCCCTAGAGCGGAAAAGAGACTTCTCATTCCTGGCCATGACAACGGCCCTACCACACATACATCCAATTCCTGGGTCATCCTTGTCAACTAGTCTTTCCTTTTCGCTCACCCAAACTGTTGTCATTGTCCTCTGTCTCGCTGGCTAGTTTGAATAGCGTCCACCTCTTATTCTCACACCGATCAAACAGCTCCTGGCAGAGACCCAGACTGAGTCAGAGCTCCCTTGAGATCACCCAGTGCGGCATTCCCGCCCAGAAAGTCACAGGCTCCCTGACCACCGTGGGCAGTCCCTGGCAGAGCGGGGCTTAGAGCACAAGTCGTCTACCACCAGCCTACACCAGGCCGTGTCACCCAAATGCCTGCTGAGGTAGAGAAGTCAGCAGAGGGACAAGGGGAAGTACATCCCTCCTTGCCTCCCAGCCACATGTGCTCAGAACACAGCGTGTCTGTGCGACCCAGGTCCGAGGGGCCCACGCCAAGAACAGTACAGGTCTCACGCAGACCCGAACACGCGCAGACCCCCCCGCCCAGGGCGAGTTGGCACCAGCCCCCTCCCCCCAGCTGCTGTGCTGACTCCTAAGTTAGGGACCACCAATGCACAGCGGCATGTTCAAGGGGGACTACCTTCATGAGCTCCTTATCTGCCTCCGAGGAGTCCTCTTTGCTGTAGTGAAGCAGCATCTCACTGAGCAGCTTCACGTTATTATTAACCTCTTCTAACGTGTGCAGACGCTCCGTCACCTTCTGGGTCCGAGCCTCATCCTGCAAGAGACAGGGCTCAACCCGACTGTCCCCAGAACCCCACAAGGCAAGGATCGCAGCAGAGACCACGAGAACCGAGGCCACCCCCCCCCCCCACGAAGCTCCTCTCAATGCACAGGCCTGGGAACCGCAGGCCTTGGACCCTGTTTAGTTTTTTTCCTGTTTAACATATTTTTTAATCCTCACCAGAAGACATGTTCACTGATTTTAGAGTGAGAGAGACATCAACGTGGGAAAGAAACCTCGATCGGCTGCCTCCCATACCCACCCTGACCGGGGGTCGAACCCTCAGCCATTTGGTGTACAGGATGACGTGCCAACCAGCTGAGCTGCCCAGCCCAGGGCAGTTTTGCTTTTAAAATAACAGTGTTCTCCCAAGCCCCAAACTGGGCCCCACCCACTCTTGCTCCTCCAATCCAGTATCTGGCCTCTCCAGGGGAGGCTGAGGGCAGGGGTGAAGGCAGGCCTAATGCCAAGGGAGGGGGATTCTGCTCTGCGGGGCTTCTCCAGCCCACGCCCCAATGCCCAGGGCCCACTTACTTCCTTCACCATGGACTTGATGAGCTTGTTGGCCTCCTGAAGGTCATCGGGGTTTTTGCTTTTCAACAACTTGGCTAAAAGCTGGAGGAGAGGGTATCCAAGGTGAAGGCGGAGGCAGCACCCCACCCAGGGAGACCCCAGAGGAACCGGCTCCCCACGGCATGAGCACGACCGCACCTGGCCTGAGGACTGCACAGCCTGGACGCACTTTACCTTGGATTTCTCCTCATCATCGAAAACAGGGTTTTTGGGACGAGGTGGTGGAGAGGGGATCAGTGTCCTGTCCACAGGGATCGGAGGGTCAGACTGCACGATGCCTGCAAGGCGACACAGGGCAGGGCGTCTGCTCAGGCCTAGGAGGACGCGCCGCCCCTCCTCACGCAGCCAGGGCGCACATCCCTGAGGTCAGGACCTGCAGGGACAGAGCAGGTCCGTGCCTCTCCCATCAAACCCCAGCCGAGCCCATCCCGCTGTCTCTGGGAGGGGAGAAGAAACGCAGCTCGGGGATAACAGACACCCCCACCCTTCCTGGCCGTGGCCACCTTTGGCGCTGTGTGGAGGCTGGGGAGTGGGGGTGGGCACACACCCTGTCTCTTCAACATGTGGTAGGCATCCTTGATCTTTGATTCTTCGGGCAGGGCCAATGTCCAGCTATAAAACAGCTCGATGACCTTGGTCTTCACTTTCTCAGATACTCTGTCCCCCAGGTACTAAGAGGCAAAAGGAAAAAGGAAACTAGTGACCGCAGTCTGGGGCGGGATGTGGGAAGGCTCTTTCACAGCCATGAAATAGTCACTGAGGAGCTGGAGCCCTCCTGCCAGTGGGAAACCGGCAGGGACCCGGGATGGCAGACGGCACAGGGCAGGGCTGCGTCCGTCTGGGGCAGAGTCTGTGGTCGGGCAGCGGCGGGAGCTCATCCCTGCATTTCCATGCACCATCTGCCAGAAACACAGCTGCACTTTACCGCAAAGCACTTCCTGTCTTTGGTCTAAAAACTGTCCCCTCTGCTGTAAGTGGGTGCCTGGAACTAAAGCAACACTTGTGCGCAGCACAGCCCAGTAGGCTGAGGAATGACGAGGTGCCCACCTGTGACTAGCCAGGCAGAAGTGGCCACTGTGCGGACCCTCCCCAGACACGCACACAGCCATGCCCCGTCACTCCTTGCATTCAGGAGAGAAGCCCGTTGGCGAGGCCGGTGCGGTCATCCTGCAACCCTCAGGACCCGCCTGACTCGGACGCAACACTGAGAGCCTCGGATCCACGGGGCTGCCAGCTGTGCAGTGAAAGCCAGCAGGCGTGGGGGAGAAACACAAAGAAGTTCCTACAAATGAGGAAACTGCCCCGACTTACTTTTGGAGAGACCACCTTGATTAACTCATTCAAAAACCGGAACTTTCCCACTTCGTTGTGAAACCTCCTCCCGCAGTTCTTCATGCACGCCTCCAGCACCTACGCACGGGGGGGAGGCACTCGGTGGGGGTGGGGCCTGGGTGGCACCTGCCCCCGGCCAGGTGCCAGATAAACATTCACCCAAGGAAGGAACTCATCAGGAAGAGTTGAGAACACGACCCCAGGGGAACATCTCGTGTCCCTCAAATTGCAAAGCTCTTCTGGGGCAGCTCAACGGGAACCAGAGAAGCCCCAGACACCAAGAAGGTGGAATGTCAGTCCGGGAAGGCGCCTTCCTGCCTGCGCTACCTGCATCTCAGAGCTGAGGAAAGCGAGGCCCAGAGAGAGCTGCTCTGACTCGAGGTCCAAGATTCTGTTCACAAGCTGCCTGACATTCTGGGGAGGTGGGAGGTAGTGGCTGAACTGCTCTCTCAACCTCAGTGGACACAATACGCTCCCTCTCCCCACGCCCACCTGTTTTCCCTCTGGGGCCATAAGGCTTCCTGAGGCTTCCCTGTGCCTGCCTGTGCCAAGGAGCACGCTGTGCCAGGGCTCCCTTTCTTGGCTTGTTTCTGTAAAGCAGGGCTTCTCACCTATGCTGTTACTAACGACTGGGGCCGGCCATTCCTTGTGGAAGTCCACCCTGTGCATCGTAGGGTGTCTGGCAGCAGCCCTGGACTCTCAGCCCCTAGATGCCAGGAGCACCCCCTGACATGAGACAACCAAAAGTGTTTCCACATATCACCCAATGTCCCCTGGGGGGCAAACTCCCTGCCCCCCCGAGAAGCACTGCTGGAAGGCCTTCAGTGCACGGTGACTGGAACAGGCGTGCACACGGCCTGGGCAGCCCTCCCGAGGCCGCTTTCTGCCCTGTGCCCTTCTACAGGGACAACCCTGGGAGCCCGAGTCTGGGCCCAGGTGCCGCACACAGTCCCACGTCCTGAATCCCCTTAGTCTCAATAAACTCCGAGAGCCACCGCTGGCATGACGCCTTCACTAGTAACTGGCACTACTTATAGCTACAGAATGAGTTTTACTCACCTCCAATTTTCTTCAGTTAGTCAGCTCCTAAAGGGCAGGACAGCTCTGTCTGCGTGCGCCCCACCCTGGGCTCAGGGCCTGGCCTCTGGCCCCCTCCCTCAGCCTCTGCTTCTCCCGCTAGACCACACGGCCACCTCCGAAGCCTCGGTGCCCAGCACGAGGGCACACGCACTGGTGAAACAGGTGAGCCAGCGTGAACCTACCGTCAGGGCCTGGACCGCCTCCCATTCCTGCGGAGACTGGATCTTATGGGCCAGCAGGCGGACGGCTATCTGCGGCCTGGGAGACAAGCAGACCACACTCTGAAGACACCGCCCCTAAGGCCGCAGGGCCAGCCCTCCTGGGCCTCGCTTCTTACTTTCCCAGGCAATTCCCTCACCTGCCCCTCGAGGCTTACAGACTCACCCTTCGAGCTCCCTGTTGATCTGATCACAGAAGCCGATGATGTATTCCCAGTCCTCCTGGCGGTTGCAAGGGTTGGTGGCTTTATCTTGGGACAGAACAAAGAAGAGGACACTGTAACGAAGAGCAGGGAGGGCAAGCAGAGGTTCTCCTCTAGACTTTTATGCACTGATGTGAACATGTCTGTTTCTGAATTTCTTCTCTAACAGAGGCCTCAACACTTCAGCCAGGCAGCAAGTCATGTACAAATCTGCTCTCTGTCCGCATCGGGAAAGCCACAAGTGAGGAGAAAACGGTCCTCGGACTCAGGAGCTCAGGGTAGATCACGACTGACAGGACAAACACAAACGCAAGTGACTGAAATACTCGAGTAGATGCCTATGTGAAATGTTTACTGTAACAAATAAATACGGATACTTCCAGTTATGTAAAGACAAGCGGGTGTTAAGCAAGTAGGGATAATCAAGAAGTGCCTCCTAGTCCTGGCTGCTGTGGCTCAATGGATTGAGTGCCGGCCTGAGAACCAAAGGGTTGCCAGTTCAATTCCCAATCAGGGCACATGCCTGGGTTTTGGGCCAGGTCCCCAGTGTGGTGCATGAGAGAGGCAACCACACACTGATGTTTCTCTCCTTCTCTTCCCATCTCTCTAAAGATAAATAAAATCTTTAAAAGATAAAAATGAATAAAGAGCCCTGGCTGGTGTAGCTCAGTGGATTGAGCACGGGCCTGAGAACCAAGGGATCGAGGTTCGATTCCCAGTCAGGGCACATGCCTGGGTTCAGGCCAGTTCCCAGCAGGGGACCCACAAGAGGCAACCACACATTGACATTTCTCTCCCTTTCTCCTTCCCTTCTCCTCTAAAGATAAATTTAAAAAAACCAAAAAACTAACTTTTCAAGTTCTAACATTTTTTTAAATTGCACCTCATCCTCACCATTTACGGTTAAACTAACAACATTTACGGAACCCCCAAGAAGCACCAATCAGCGTGTTCTCTGTCCCTGGGGTCACAGGGGCACGATCTAAGTTTGAGCATTCGGTGCCCTCAAGATGAAATGCTCTTGGATCAAGGGCGGAGACAAATGCCGGGGAGCCCTCAGAGGGTCACCGAGGGTTTCAAATCCAGTGCTAAACGCAGAGCCCCTAACACTTGTGTGGCCCCCTTTCCCCTGTCACCTCTGGAAGCTCACAGACAGCAGCCCTGGCTGAGGGGGGGGGTGACTGTCTTCCCATCTCTTGGTCATTACCAAGGCTTTTAGAACAGTTTTCTCATCTGTCATGGATGTGACCACAAAACATTTTCCCACTGGGTTTTCTCTCTGCTACGGTGCTAGCACTCAGCCTACTGGGGGCACTTTATTTTTAAAAACAAAAACAACTACTCCCATCTCTGATTCAAACCTTGGCACTTGCCCATTCCAGAAAGCAGCCCCCAGCTGTCTGCCATGCTCGGGGCTCGGGGCTCAGGTTCAGAAGACGAGCAGAAGCTTGACGAAGCCCTTCCTGACAAGGGGACTTCAGGTGAAGTTCCTGAATTCTGATTTCTCTGGGCTGTTTTTATAACTTCCGTTTTTCCTAATGTTAAAAATCACTAGCTCCACAACCAGACCCTAACAGGGACTCCGTGCCCTACACCCAGGGCTCCAGGCCACGAGGGGTCAGACGCCTCGCCGAGACAGAGTGAGGACAGGGCTGTGACTCCGGCGGTGCTGCACCTGCCTGGAGGCGTCTCTGCTCTGTGAGAAGATTCAGAAGGCTCACATTCACATGTGGAGGGAAAGAGAGATGCCCGTCCTCAATCGTAAACAGAGAATTAGCAGGCCCTTCCAAATGTCAAGCCTGAAGGAAGGAGAGATTAATTCTGTCAATAGTGACTATTAATTGCCACTGTGACCTACTAGCTGTCACCCTCCAGAGAAGCCCCGAGTCTCTTCCACCAGTTATCCGAGACCTTCTCAGGTGTTAGCATGACTTTGTTACTCATCCCTATCATTTGAGATGTTTAAAGTTCTCACATGGTATCAAGAGACTGCAGGGAGACAAAAATAAGAGGGTCTGCGGAGCCGTCCCCACCCTGTCACTATCGTTTTGGGAACAGTCACATACCTCGTGGTGTAAGGAAAAGCAGTCCACTCACGCACACTGTTAGCAAATGGAAGAACATCTTCCAGACACGGTCCGTCTCGGACACGTCCTCCCCGCGTGCACGCGCACGCAAACACACACACACACACACACGGGCAACAGGCACTCACCAAACTCATGCTCTTCCCACACCTGCTAGAAGCCCAACGGCATTCCTGCTTCTGAGAATGCGCCTGCTTACTTTTCACTGTGTACAACTTCTCTGGAATCTGACTTAAAAAAAATTTGTTTTTACCTTGGTAGAACTTTCTACTGCAAACCCGCAGGGAGCACTGTGCCTACACACGGGCACAAAAAGCCCAGTTTCAGCAGCCGTCAGTCCCACTTCTGAGTGCCTGCCCCGGCTCTCCAGCCGGCTCAGGAAGCAGACCTCAGCTGCCCACGGGAACTGGGAGGAACCTCTGGGGATCATCCTGGGGGGCTGGATCTCTCCATCTGCCCACTGCCTCGCCCCGCAGATGCGCCCAACCTTCCACCCACTCGACATTCTCCATCACCTGGCACAGAGGAGACCTCAGGGCTGAGGTCAGGGACCCTGCTTCCTAGAACCACACCGCTGGGCTCTATTCTGATTCGAGGTTTCTATTTTCAGGTCCCTACCGAAAGCCTTACTCTCTCCTGTGTCTGTGCCTCTACATTCCCTGCTCTCCTTTTCAGCTCCATCACTAGCCCTGACTGTCTCAGGACCTCAAAAGGCTAAGTCGGGACTGAAGCAGCAGCACTGGCTGCCCCATCCCATTACAGCCCAGACACCCCAGAGACGACCAATTCTATGTGGCAAACAACTCAGAAATAAGCAGAAGCAAGAACAGGAGATGGAAAATGAGTCCAGAATCGACCTTCATGGCTATAGTCTTGAATCAAGAGACAGTCAATCACTGAGTGTTTGTTAGGCACCATCAAACTTGAGTGTGCAGCATGCCAGGCCCTGGAGGGACTTCAGAAAAAGTACAAGGCTCAGACACGACCCTGGGCCCAGCAGGGGCTGCTGCAGTAATCCCAGCAGGCCTCAGAGTGACGAGGACCTAGAATGAGATGCTGCTGAAGCGCAAGCACTGGTTGGTTCACTTGGCATAGTTCACACCATTAAGTTGTAAGACTTACAACAGGGTCACACCCAGGTAAACCCTTCATAAGTTGAAAATATCTAAAGTTAACGATGCATTTAATACACCTAACCTACCGAACATCATTGCTTAACCTAGAACATAACATTCAAGGAGGTTTTCTCTCCTGATGCAACACAAGACATAACCAGGGCAACAACCGAGACAGGGTGTAATTGTAAGTGCTGCTCTGGTACAGAAACGCGTCTAAAAACAAACCCATCACTTCCCCTTCCTGACTTCCCTATTTCTACAAAAAAGCTCCCTCGGCCCAACCGTCAGGCACCCGGGTTTGAAGCCCCACTGCAGACCCCTCCTCCCTCGCCTCACCCATTTCTCTGTCCATAGTCCCTTCCACCTTAATGCCCTGTTAGATCTCTCCCTTCGTTTCTTACCTCTGCCCCCACCACCTCTCTCACAACTGCCTCCAGAGCTTCTGCTCCAGTCCACCCTGTGTACAGCCCAGGAGCAAGTCTCCTCAAACACCCACACAAGGTCCCACAGGACAGTGGATCTGAGAACTGCAGACACATCGACTGCTCGGCCTGGAAGTCAAGGCTTTGCAGAATGTAGCTCTAACTTCCCAGCTTTCTCTCCCATTGCTCTCCTGCAAGAACTCCGGGCTTGGACCAGCCAAACACCCACCACCATGTGTCCCAAACATGGCTGGCTGCCTCCACATTGTAGTCTGTTCCCTTGGCCCACTTTTCCTGTTCCTTAAGGCTTAGCCAGAATGCCATCTCCCCATTATGAGAAAGCATCTTCCACTCCACCTATCGCGAATTTTCTAAAGAAACTGTCTGCATTTTCCCATTTCTGGCTCTTGCCACTGAGCCTTTATCTCTTTTTTTTTTTTTTTCAATGACTTCTTTTTTTTAAAAATAAATTTATTTTTTTTGAATTGTTTATGCTGTTACAGTTGTTCTATTCCCCCCTTCATTCCCCTCCACCCTGCCCCCCCAACCCCACCATTACCCCCCTTTAGCTTATGTCCATGTGTCTCAAGTCCTTTAGGTTCTATATTTCCCATACTATTCTTGCCCCCCCCCATCTATTTTCTATCTACTGTCTATGCTACTTGTTTTCTGTACCTTCTCTCCCCTTCTCCTCCTCCCACTCCCCTGTTGCTAACCCTCCTTGAGATCTTCATTTCTATGTTTCCACTCCTGATCTAGCTGTCCTTTTAGTTTGCTTTTGTTTTAGGTGTGGTTGTTAATAACTGTGAGTTTGTTGTCCTTTCACTGTTCATGTTTCTTTAACTTCTTTTTCTTAGATAAGTCCCTTTAACATTTCATATAATAAGGGCTTGGTGATGATGAACTCCTTGAATTTGGTCTTATCTGAGAAGCACCTTATCTGTCCTTCCGTTCTAAATGAAAGTTTTGCTGGGTAGAGCAATCTTGGTTGTAGGTCTTTAGATTTCATGACTTGGAATATTTCTTTCCAGCCCCTTCTTGCCTGTAAGGTCTCTTTTGAGAAATCTGCTGACAGCCTGATGGGGACTCCTTTGTAGGTGATTGTCCCCTTAGCTCTTGCTGCTTCCAGGATTCTTTCCTTCATTTTAATTTTGGCTAATGTAATTATGATATGCCTTGGTGTGTTTCTTCTTGAGTCCAACTTTTTTGGTACTCTCTGGGCTTCTTGGATTTCTTGGAAGTCTGTTTCCTTTGCCAGATTGGGGAAATTTTCTTTTATTATTTGTTCAAATAGTTTTTCCACTGGTGGTTGTGTCTTTCCCCCTTCTGGTACCCCTATAATTCGGATATTGGAGCGTTTATAGATGTCCTGGAGGTTCCTAAGCTTCTCCTCATTTTTCTGAATTCTTATATCTTCATTCCTTTCTGATTGATCATTTTTTTCTTCCTTCTGGTTCACTCCATTGATTTGAGTCCCAGTTTTTTTTCATCTCTATGGGTTTCCTGTGGAATTCCATTCATTTCCCTTAATTTAGCCTTCATATGTTTCTCTAATTTGTGGCTATAGTCCACCAGATCTGTGAGGAAGCTGATGACCAGTGTTTTAAACTGTGCGTCTGAGAGATTTGCTATTTCTTCGTCACTTAGATTTATCTCCGGGGCTTTGAGGTCCCCCTGCGACATTTTTGGTCTGTTCTGGCCCTTTAAGTGAGAGAAGCGGCGCCTTGGAGTCCCAGGTCGCTGGGTTGTGACGCTGTATGTTGGGGCGTGGTCAGAGCGGGGAAATGGCCGCCGCCGGTCCCACCGCTCACTCCCTCACCCGCGCGCAACCGGGCAACCACAGTCAACTCGCTGCCACTGCCTCCCCACTGACTCCTCCGTAGTCGCTCACCCGGTGCGCCACTCGGTCGCTCACTAGGTCCAATCCTGGGTTTGGAACCCGTGCGACTGGATTCGCGCGTCTGGATTCTGCGCCCGGGTCGATCGAGCCCTCCTTTGTAACTCCTCACCCGACGCCGGTTTCGCCCCTTACTGGTCGGGCCGAAGAATTTGTTGTTAGCGGACTTCCGAAAAGTTCAGTTTTCCGTGTTCTGGTTGTGTTTTCTGATGCTAATATTTAGTTGTCCCTAAACTTGGTTGTGTGAGGAGGCAAGGCACATCCACCTAAACCTCCATCTTGGCGGAAGTCCGAGCCTTTATCTCTTTATTTAAGAATGCTTTATTCCCTGTAGCATCACCTTCATGAAGGCAAAGACTGCTTGCACTTATTTTCATAACGCCTTGCACAGCAGGCGCTCATCAAACACTGACTATGGTAACAAGAGGACTTTAGAGAAGGCCGCCATTATCAAGAGACGGGTTGTGGGGGTGGAGAATCTGGGATGGGTCTTAAAGCTCTTAGTGAGCAAAGGAGAACAGGGCTTTCAGGGAAGAGGGCAATGTGTGTTTGTGGGATAAGAACATCCGACTGGCCAAAGCAAAGAAGACTGACTACCAGAAAGCCACAGAGAGGAGGTGGGAGGTGTGCAGCAGTGGAACGCTCTGATGCAACAGACACACTCTGAGGAGCAGAATGCAGAAGGGACAGACCTGAGACACTGGGCCCAGCAGGGACTGCTGCAATAAATCGGGAAAACCACAGAGTGACAGGGACCTAGAATGAGATGCTGAAGCACAAGCAGTGGTTGGTTCACTTGGTGTAGTTCACACCATTAAGTTATAAGACTTACAGCTGGGTCACACCCAGGTAAACCTTTCATAAGTTGAAAATACTGTAAGTGGAGAATGCATGTACTACACCTAACCTACCGAACATCACTGTTTAGCCCACAACACAACATCCAAAAAACACAGGCAACACAGTTCAGCATAGAGTATCGGCTGTTTACGTGGGTGATCAAGTGCCTAGCTGGGAGCTCCGCTCACTGGCGCTGCCCAGCATCATGGGAGAGTGCCCTACTGCACAGCCGGAGAAAAGACCAAAATCCAAACTTTGAAGTATGGTTTCTACTGAAGGCTTATCACTTTCACACCATTGTAACATGGAAAAATAGTGTCGAACAACGGTAAGCCGGGGACATCCAGCCTCTACTGATATCGCCCCATTCCCCTCTCACCATCTCCACTCTCCCACAAAAACAGGTCCGTCCCTCTCCTACTTCAAAACATAACTCTGAACCTATTAAACTCAGCTTAGGCCACCTACACTACTCCAATGTCCCAATCAACATCTGTGGGTCAAACCAATCACAGTGTGGTTACATCTGGTTGGGTGGCTCTGGGCACATGGTTTCACTAGATTGTCACAATTTCCCCTTTTTGTGAAATTGTAACAATATTATCTGCTTCACTGGGATACTTAATAAATGAGTTAAACGAATGTCTTCAGAACACTTTGAGTGCTCCATGGAGAACAGTTACATATATACAGAAGGCTTCGAGCAACTATACCTGCCTGCAACTGAAGATTTCTGCAAATACACCTAGGTTCAACCACCTGAAGGAAGTTCTTATTAAGAAAGGTCAGGCAATTGGAGGAAACAGCCATCACCTGCAAGAACTTGGACGCGCTAGTAAATAAGAGATCTCTTGCAAAAGGTATTAACTATGCCTCCCTACTCGCATTACGACGTTCAATTTTTACCTCGGAAGCTTCTGGGAGCCTCCTGTAACCCATAGGAAACTTACTAACCCTTCAGCAAAGTACTACCAGCTAACAAGGTTAACCAATATTTCCTTAATAGCAACGTAAGTTAGCAATTATAGCAACAGGCCGCTATAACTACAGCATCGGCTGGGTTCCTCAGCTTTGCTCAGGGTAGGTTACCAACAAATGACTCAAGATGTCCAAGCGTGTATGCGCGCGCGGAGTGGGGTGGGGGCCATTGAGCTCTGTTCTCTCTCTCTGGATTATTCTCTCTTCAAACATTCTGCCCGCGCGAAGCGGTCACTTCTCCTCGAACATAAAGCCACAACTCCGAAGCTCTATGTGTGTGCTCTAGAGCACCCACCGCTCTCGAGGTTTAGCCCAAATCGAGAGCTTTTCCCTTCGTCAGGGACTGAGCCGCCCGCAGCCCCGCCACAATCTCCCCTAAGCGGCAGTGCTTGTCAGGCGGAAGCACTTGGCTGTCACTTTCCCGGAGCCCGCGAGGCCAGACGGGACCCCAGCTCACGCCGACGCGCGTGGGAGCGGGAAGTGGCGCCGCAGCACCCGGAGCAGGTGCCGGGCGGGGGCCAGGCGTCTTGCTGGGGAAGGGGCGTGAACGCGGAACGCTCAGGGCGCGCCGGGCCCAGGCTCAGGTTGCCAGGCGGCGGCGCCGCGGAGACCGGGGAGGGGGTGTAGGGGTGCGCAGAGGAGAGGCTCGGTAGTGCTGCGAAGGCATGCAAAAGCGGACGTGGATACTCACTCAGCCAGGACTCCAGGCTCTCTCCTTCCGCCTCCGCCATATTGCAGCCGCCCGGGCCGTGCGCGCAGCCTCAAACCTCGCGATAACCTGCAGGTTCCGAGCCGGGGCGGGGCCTGCATGGGGACTTGAGAGGAACCGGCTCCGCCACTGACGCTCGCGCCAGACTGTGACGGATAATGGAAGGGCGAGTGTTTCCTTTTGACTCTTCCCTCTGGACCTCGGAATGACTCTTAATGCCCAGATTAATAGGGTGATTAATAGGGTGATGCCCAGATTTAAGACCCTGTGGAGCTTTTTCTCTCTTCCGTCACTTGCTCAGGCACGCCGAGGGCAGCTTGTGGGGGGTCCTCACGGCAAACCAAGATGGCTGCCCCCTTGAGGAAGACTGTGAGAGGGTGGTTGGACCTACCACTGAGTGTACGCAGTGCTGTTCTGCGGCTTCCAGGGTGAGAAGTTGGCGGTTAACTGGGAGGTCGCTTTAATCTTCAGGGAGAGACCTGCAGAAAGGAAAGTGGCCATACGCAGGCCGCGCAGGGACCTGGAGAGCCTGGAGTAGGGATATCTGGGTCCGTGGCTCTTACTGCGTGAGTTTGAGGTAGTCTGAGGCTTGGTGGCAGCTCCTTGCCCGAGGGGATCCTAATTCGGAGCTGAAAGTACAGCCTTGCTAAATCTCAGAGTTGGAGTTTTCCGTGTTGGGAATTGCGGGTAGACGTGCATTGGCAGGCGTCCACCCTGAGGTTTAGACACCTGTCCTTATCGTTGGCACTGGAGATGAGGCTTTACTGGCTTGTTTGGGGTAGGTCCTCCTACCTTTTGGGGCAAGAGCCAGAATTATCGCGCTTCACGGTTGGCTAGCGGTGTGCGCACCGCTCACTACTCAGTGGTTTGGCAGACACGCCTTTATTATTAAGTCAAGCCTTTTCGCTTGTGGAGTCAGCCCTTGCCCGCCTTTTCCTCTTCCCCCTCTCCCAGGCTCATCCAGGTGAGATGGAGCCGCTATGGCCCTGAGTACAGGGATCCCCAGACTGACAAGGAGTATTTCCGCAAGCCCTTGGCAGAGCTGACTGAGGAAGAGAAGTTTGAGCTGGAGTTGAGGAAGACGCAGCTTATCAAAGCTGCCCCAGCGATGAAAACTGGCTCTGTGTTCGAAGACCCGTTGATCAGGTTAGGTGGAAACACTGTTCTTCCACTGGGACGATACAGGGAGGATCTGCGGTGAGGATTCTGTGGTACAGACTAGGAAAGCTAAACATGTTGCTTTTCTCCTTGAAGCAAATTCACCAACATGATGATGAAAGGAGGAAACAAAGTTCTGGCCAGATCCCTCATGACAAAGGTAAACGGTACCTCTCGCCTTTCATCTTTCTCTTCCCTGTAGTTTTGTACTCGGCTCCTTCAGTTTAGTATGAAAAAGAATGGATTCACCTGGCTGGTGTAGCTCAGTGGATTGAGCACAGGACCTGTGAAGCAAAGGGTTGCCAGTTCGATTCCCAGTCAGGGCACATACCTGGGTTGCTGGCCAGGTCCCCAGTAGGGGACACATGAGAGGCAACCACACATTGATGTTTCTCTCCCTCTCTTTTTCCTTCCCTGCCCCTCTCTAAAAATAAGTGAATAAAGTATTTTTTTTTTAAAGAATGAGTTCAGATACCTGTCATTAAAATGAACTTCTCTGTATGTGTGTGTTGGGTGGGGCTTTAATGAAGTCCTGTAGGAGTCAACGGCTACTACCATCCCCCGCCCCCCACCCCAGTCTTAGCTGGCTCTTTCTATCCTGGTTTAGGAAAGAGGGAGGCACTTGGAGGCACTTAAGGTGGCTCAGTTGGTTGGAGCATCACCCCATACACCCAACGGGTATGGGTTTGGTCCCATTCTCCATCAGAGCACATACCTGTGTTGTGGGTTGGATCCCCACAGTGTTTCTCCCCCTCCCTCCTTTTGAAATAAGTAAACATATCCTTGGGAGAAGATTTTTAAAAAGTGCTGTGGAGGAGTGCAGCGCTATAGAAGAGCCTGCTAATGGGAGTGAAGGGCAAGGTACTGGCTGGGTAAACCCTTCAGGACGCCTGGGGCATCCTTGTCCACCGTATCCCTTTGCAGACTCTGGAAGCTGTGAAAAGGAAGCAGTTTGAGAAGTACCATGCCGCTTCCTCGGAGGAACAGGCAGCCATTGAACGCAACCCCTACACCATCTTCCACCAAGCCCTGAAAAACTGTGAGCCTGTGATTGGGCTGGTACCCATCCTCAAGGGTGGTCATTTCTACCAGGTGAGTGGTCAGGGCAGGGAAGGCAGGGCTGCCCACAGGTGTAACAGGGTGGGGGGAGGGGTTCTTGTGGATAAGAGAGCCCAGAGTAGGCCAAGATTGATAGCTTTCTAGGGACCAGAGATTGTCAGGATCTGGCCATCTAAGTCCCACAGTATTAAAAATGATAGCCAGGCCCTGGCTGGTGTAGCTCAGTGGATTGAGCGTGGGCCTGGGAACCAGAGGATTGCGGTTCGATTCCCAGTCAGGGCACATGACTGGGTTGCAGGTCAGTTCCCAGCAGGGGACCCATCAGAGGCAACCATATATTGATCTTTTTCTCCATCTCCTTCTCTTCCCCTCTAAAGATAAGGAAATAAAATCTTTAAAAATTAAAAAAAATGACAGGCAGAACATAGAAGAGAACAAAGTAGTATCCAAGTGACCCCCTCCCCGGGCATCGCATGTTCCATCACTTTCTCGTGGTGAGGGACTGTTTAGACCCCGTCTTCATGCACCAGTGTCTAGCGTAGCATTTGCCTTGTAACTGATGCCGTCACCGTTTGTTGAACTGAACTGCGTGCCTCCATTATAGTCTTTCATTATACTTCATAGTCACAAGTGGGTATTCTCATCTTCTGTTTCAGCGTAAACTTCATAGAGGTAGAGACTTTCTCATTAACGTCTGTGTCCCTAGGGTCTGGCATGGTAGTGGGGGCTTGGAAAATGATTCTTGGACAAGAGGCTCTTTCCTTTAGGCATCCTCATCTGAGTGGCTAAGTCACCCCGGCTGATGGGGCTTTTCCCAGTTGGTGCTTTTATCAACTTGGCTGAGCTTTCATTTGCAGGTGAAAGAGGTCAGCACTTAATGAGCCTTTGCTCTGTGAAGGCCTCTGACGTGGGCTACACTGACGTCACCCGAGGGTGAGGGAAGCTCAAAGAGGAAGAGGCAGGCCCCTCTCCTCAGGAGGCTTGCCAGGGCTGACCCAGAGGGAACCTGTGGAGGAAGGAGGCTGCAGCCCTGGCAGTTCTTGGACCAATTTGCCCATGTCCTGTCTTGGCCAGGTCCCTGTGCCGCTATCCGACCGGCGACGGCGCTTCCTGGCCATGAAGTGGATGATTACTGAGTGCAGGGAGAAGAAGCCCCGGCGGATGCTGATGCCAGAGAAGCTGTCACAGGAGCTACTGGAGGCTTTTCACAACCGGGGCCCTGTGATCAAAAGGAAGCACGACATGCACAAGATGGCAGAGGCCAACCGAGCCCTGGCCCACTACCGCTGGTGGTAGGGGCAGGGAGGCTCCAGGAGGAGCCCGGGGCGCTCTGCTGCAAGAGGCCGTGTGAGCCGCTGCTACATGAAAAGCACCTGTGCTGAAGGATGTAGTTCATCCGTAAGGGCAGGCAGGCCTCCCAGGAAGGAGCGAGCAGTGTATTCATTGCTCTAGTCCTTCCCTGTGGGCTAGAACTTGCTCTCCCTGCCCTAGCTCCTTGCAGAGAGCCAATACATGGACTTGGAGTTTCCCCAAGAAACGGGGCCCCTCCCACCTTCTCTTCCCTCAACTCAGGGTGGATACATTTGGGTGATGAAAGGAAACATTTTCACATCAGAAAGGTTTATTAGAAAACTCCCCCTGCACTGGAGCATATGATGCAGGGCCGCCACTCATTAAAACCGACTGCAGGAAGCACCTGTTTCCAAGGTCGTGCTTATACAAATGTATCAGAAGCAGTATTTGGTGTGACTTGTGCGCTGCACTTATGCCCTTTGACATTCCAAACCGTCCCACCAATGGCTACGGGCCCATTATACAGATGGGAGACTGAGGCACAAAGAAGCTGCATAACCACCTGGGCCAGGCAGAGAGACTGAGGACTGTGGGGTAGGGAGGGGGAGCTAGTCTGTATGGAGTCCTCCCCAACCCCTGAAGGAGGGAAGGTGCTTAGAGCAGGACCACTGGGTAAGCAGGAAACCTCAGGAGCTGTTGGAAGTCTGGAAGGAACAGGTGTTGGGGAGAGCAAAGGCTGCGCTGCCAGGTTGGGTGAGGGGTGGGAGAAAGGCTGGTGCTGCTGGCGGGGAAGCCTAGCAACACTCGGCAGGCCTAGTCGGAGACCTCGCTGTAGTAATACTTATGGGCAGCTGGGGTCGTCTTCCAGCCTGCTGCCCGGAACTCGATGATCTCCAGCAGCAGCAGCTGGGCCAGGGAGCTGAGGCCAGTTGGGAGCAGAAAGCCATCCCGGATCAGGACAAAGAGCTCATCCATTCGCTGCCTGTTCATCTTCTCCAGCTGCTCCCCAACACGGTGCAGCTGCAGCACCAGACAGTCCACCTGCAGGGGAGTGCGGGAGGCGAGCTCCCGGCCAGGGCCGGCACATCACACAGAGCAGCCATTTACTTAGCCCTGGCTGCGTGCCGGGCACCGTGCTCGGCCCCGGACATGCATTTTCCCACTTCGTCCTCACGCTGCCCAATGGGTCTTGTTCACATCTTACATGAATAGAAGCAAGTTCCAGGACCTTCCTAAGGTCTTTCATCTAGGCCGGGCTGGATTCAGGCCCTGTCTCCAAACTGCTGCTTAACCCACTTTCTACCTCCCCCCACACTGCCTGGTCCTGATTTGGTTTCTGGTCGGCCGTGTCCACAGCTGGCCATGGCTCCCACCATTCCTCTTGTGGGTTGGCTTTCCTTCTGGAAGGAAGCTTCTGAACTAGTTAGTAGCTGCAGGCTGCTTCTGTTCTGGATAAATTCCAGACCTGGTAGCTTGTTCTGTAACTGTGACAGGCCCTCACTGTCCCCACCAGGCTCCTGCCCCAGAAAAGGATGCCCTCAAAGCCTCCGTGGGTACTGGGCCTGTATCCTGGGCCGAACTAAAGACCCACCTCCACAGCCTTCCTTGCCAGGGCCACCCACCTCCTCCTCCTTGCTCAGACTGTCGGGCTGGGCCAGCCGGAAGAGGCAGTCATAGACAGGGTTCACTAGGGCCATCATGGGCATGTTGTTGACCTGTGGGGGAGAGCAGGGGTCAAAGCACCGTCTTAGTGGCCTCAGAGACAGGTCGTCTCTGCTGCACGGGGTGGCTGCTGCAAGCTCACCCTCAAGTAGTCAAAGATATTGCAGATGAAGGTGACATAGCAGACCCAGCCCTGCAGGGAGCGGGCGCGCAGCTGCTCCCGAGCCTGGTACTCCTGCTGCAGCCGGTTGAGGAGTCCACGCCGGAAGACACTCTGGCCTGCTTGCTTGCTCTCTGCCTGTCAACCGGAGACAGAGAGAGTGGGGGTGGGGGGAGAAGGGAGCGGTGCTGTCACAACCCCCACCCAAGCTTCCGTGGCTGAAGACCCTCCTGTGCTAACCCTGTCTCTGCCTCTGAGGGAAGTCTTTTGCACCTCGGCCCACTCCTGAAGCACCGTCCTCAAAGTGTCTCCCCTCTTCTCCACCAACCCTACCCAACCTGAATAATGGCATAGCACATGCGTCCTGCTTCCTTGCTGAACACACAGTCCTGCAGAGAATGGTCCACAATCACATTGGCCACTTTGTCCAAGTCCACGGCACCTGGATCTGGGGTAAAGATAGGCAGGCAGTCTCGAGCTGCTTAATTATCACATTTGTCTCCACCTGCTCCTAAGGATCGGGGATGTCTACAAAAGAGCACTCCTATTACGACACCCTTACACCTCATTTAAAGAGACCAGAAAACATGCAGAGCAGTAACCACACAGGAGCAGCTCCAGCTCTGGTGGCCCCATCAGAGGAAATGGGAGGGTATGTGGCTGTAGAGACCAATCAAAAGAATGCCCAGCCTCGAGGACACATGTCTGGCATTAGCTGGAGGAAGGAGCACTGAAGAACTGTCTCTGGCAGCAATTTTACAGAAGAAAGTGTTCTCATAACACAAGAAACCCATAGGCTCAGCCTGGCATGCGGTGGATGCTGCTACTTGTTAGCTGAGTCATGCTTCTGTTCTGAGCGTCTCGGGAAGGCCCTGGTCCAGGACAGTGACTCTCTCCTCTGCCATGAGTCAAGCAGCTCTGCACGTTGGAGAGAGCAGGCTGCAGGAACCAGGTCCAACTTGAGGACTTACAGGGCAGGAACCGTGCCACACCACCCCCCTTCATGGGTATTCGTACTTTCCCCAAAAAGGCGCTACAGTCTGGGAGGTGATTCACACTCCCAAAGCTGGCCTGCATGTAGCTTGTCTTTCAGTTTGAGGTTTATGTTGCTGACTCCTAATCACAGAGACCAAAGAGGGAGAGAGGGCTAGATATTCCCAGGCCAAGGCTCAGTCCTCCAGTCCTGTCCCGGTGCAGCTCCAGACCCAGGCTCAGGAGGGCTCCCCACGCTCACCTTTGAGTGCTGTCTTCAGCAGCTGCTGGGTCTCTGCATCGAAAGACTGGATTTTGTACTCCTCTCTACCCGGTTCCCCCATGACCATCCAGCCTGGGCAGCTCTTTACTGGGCCGGGGTTAGTGACAGCACCTGGGGAGGAGAGATGAATGGGGAGGCCTCAGGTGTGGAGCATGGAGCTGGGGTTCCCAGGATGCAGGAATGAGTGGGGCTGCCCAGGGCTTGGGACAGGTACTCCTGGGCAGTCCTTGGCACTTGGTGGCTGGCTGAGTGCCCACCAAGCTTGGCTCCTGGTGGAAACTGGGCACCAGCTGGGCACCTGCTGCTTAGTTTCAGAACCCCTGTAGCGTCTGGGATTACATAACAGCCAAGGGAAGAAGGGCGAAAGGGCCTATCCTCCAGCCCCAACAGGAGGCAGAGTAATCCTCAGCTGACAGCCCGGGAGTGGTGGGGGGAGCGGTGCCTGGGACGGGGGGTGTGGGTAGGTGCATATTAGACACTCGGCCTGGATGCAGCTGGCTCGGCAGGATTCTGGGCCAGTGAGAGGGCTGGGGGCTCCAAGCTGCACACAGCAGTCCCAGCAGGGTTCCTGGGCTCGAGTCCCTCTCACCAGCCCTCTCCCTGAGCTTTAGACAGAGTCCTTCTCAGTTCATGGAACCCATGGCTCTAGCCCTCGGGTTGAGGCCCGGCTGCCTGGGTGGGTGGAAGAGTCTTTGCCGTCCTGTCGGTTGGGAGCCCAAACTCCCCTGTTCTGGCCAGCTTCGTCCCTGGACGAACTGGTTAAACTGGCCTCCCAAGTGGCAGAAACCCGGCTCTGCCCACTCTGGACTCTTAATTCCTGAGCTCCTTTTGAGATCCTTCCTCTTAAAGAAGGGAGCGGGCAGACATGTCCTCGGAGGTAGAGTGCCCTCTCTGGACTCGGTACCTCCCTCCTAGTTACAGGAGACGACCTTAGGGGTCTCAAGACCTGGGCAACTTCTTCCCTAAGCCCGAAACGCCCTTCCCATTAGTGCAGAGCCGTCTGGAGGCCTGCAGGAGGGAGAAGCAGTGTAAGCGCCAGGACCCACCTGCTGGCCCGGTGCCGCGCCCGCGTGCCCGGAGGCCGTTCAGCGGGCATGATGCGCGCGACCCGCGCCCGCGGCGCCGCTGCTGAGACCCACCGCACCTCGCTGTAGCTTAGGTCATTTCCTAGCGCGGCGCCCGGGCTGGGCCTGTGGAGGGGCGGAGCCTGGGCGGATCCCAGACCGACCGGCCTCCCCAGCGCCACCTGCTGGAGCCCCGGTGACGCTGCCCTTGTCCCCTGGACTGCCCGGGGCGGGGGGCGGGGGGGGGGCCCTCCGGCGTGGGACATAGGCGGGGCCTTGTGGTGCCTGGGTGACACAGCTACCACTGCCCGTTTTCTCCTCACCCGGGTTGCCCCCGGCCTGCTCAGGGCTCGCCAGCGCTGGGCCGGACCTGCTCTCCGTCCGCATGAAACCCTGGATCTTAAACCGTGGCATCCCGCCCGACGCCTGGGGCGCAGGTTAAAACCTGGTAGGAAAGGGTAACTCCGCAGGGCCTCAGGGGCTATGGCCTGAACCCGGGCTGCCAGAGGGCATACAAAGGGGGGGCTGCAAAGAAACTGTCGCGAAGGGAAGGGAAGGGAAGTAAGTGTTGACGGTGGTCTCCTGTTGGAAGAGGCCAAAGTGGTCACCAGAACATGGCTGAGAAACTGTCAGCTGCAGCAAAAGAAACCAAAGAGCAGGAGAGATGAAGAAAATATAGTTTACTTCAATGGAATCTCATAAAAAATACATTCAGGCAGCTGCCTCGCGGCAGTGCCAAACCCAGGCCTTAAGTGACAAAAGCCCTGAGGCCGCCTGGCTCTCCAGCCACAGCCTGGACCTGCATAATCAGCAAGGGGAGCTTCAGGGCTCAGGGTCCCCAACCAATCACAAAGCCCCAACAAGAGACAAAGTAGTAACACTGAGAGAAGGGGCCCAGGTTTTGGGGGCAGCAAGGGCCCCACACCCACACTGGGCCTACTCCCAGCTGGGGCCTTCGTAAGGCAGAGCTGAGTCCGGAGTCAGGGCCCGGCATGGGGTTGGGCACTGATGGAGTCTGGCTGTCCCTGCAGAGCCAAGCCCCAGACCAGGCGCCCCTCAGGGCTGGGAGAGCAGATGCAGAGGGTGGTGGCCGTGTTCTGTGGGTTTTCTCCTGCCACCAGAGTCCTAGCTGGAGTTCCTCCTTCGAGCTCAGGTGGATACCTGGCTACCTGCTGTGGGTGCCTGTGCTCTGACACCGCTCCTGGGCACCACCTGTGTGTCCAACCCCCTCCTTCCCACACCCCATTCACTGGGCTGCGTCTGGGCTGCGGCCCTTCTGGAGGTACGGAGGACACAGAGCACCATCCTGAGCCAGGGGACCCTGACAGAGCAGCAGACCCCGACTGGCCCAGCTGTGAGCTCCTGCCACCCCTCCAGGAGGGCTACCCCAGCCCAAAAGAGACGTCACTCCAGGTGGACTGGGGAAAAGGGGCACCACCTTTCTGTACCTCCTGTCCCCAGCATGGCCCCCCGCTTCCTACAGCACCTGCGTTCCCCAGAGCCCCCTGCCCAGGGAGAGAAGAGCCCAAGTAGTACATTTAGACTCGAAGCTCTGAGCGTGGGGCTAGGAAGTGACCAGTTCAGCTTGGACTCCTCCCCGGAACTAGAAGCAAAGCTGCCGCAGGGACACAACTATGGAGAAAATGGAATTTAGGGACGGCTGGGCACAGCTGGTGTCCAGGAGAGATGTGACATGGGAGGGAAGGCAGAAAGGAGATAAGGAATGTGCTTTTAGCTTGAATGTCCATTAAACAAGTTGGGGAGAACCAGAGCCCAGGTGTGGGGACCAGGCCCCTGCCACTGGCAAGTCCCAGCCCTCACCCTAAGCCATGGCCCCACCCAGGAGAGCTCTCCGGGCAGACTGGCTAGGAGGTGCAGGAAGGCAGGCGGCTGCTCCCGAGTGTGGGCTAGATGGAGGGGAGGCCTCAAGCTCTTTGCCTGGAGGGGCTGGGGTCCCACAGACCAAGTCCTCCACGACCCCCATGCCCACACAGGGAGAAAGCCCTTGCCCTCTGGTGGCATCCAAGCGGATCAAGGCTGCAGCCCGATCCCAGCACCTCTTCAAGCTTGGGGCAGCTGGCCGGAGAGGTGGACCAGGCAGCGCCTCTCAGTGCAACTCAAGGTCGCAGGTCAAGTCTTCTTTCAGGAAGTTGCCTCCGTGGGAGACCTCAGGCCACCTTCCAGCCCTCAAGGCTAGCTGTGCGCCTTCTTCATGCAGTGGAAGAGGTCGCAGAAGAACTCATACCAGAAGAACACAAAGCCGGTGGACAGGGCGGCCTTCAGCAGGCTGGGGGACAGGCCCTTGAAGAGGCCCTGCACGCCCTCCTCCCGAAGCACCTGCCTGGCGCAGTCCAGGAGGCCCTGGTAGCTTCGAACCTGGGGAGAGGAAGGGGACTCCGGATGAGGAGGGAGGTGGCTAAATGTGGATGTGACTGTTCTTTTGTCAACACAACACCTGGCGCGACAGAGTTCCCAATCAATACTTGCTAGATAAAGGAACAGGTGTGAAAAGACAGAGAAAAAGTTAACCTCATTCTTTCTCTTCCAAGTGGGCGAATTCGGACTTAACGGTTGCAGTGCCTGGAAATCAGCACTGAACAGAGCCCCTTCCTGCCCAGGAGGCTGCCCCGGAATGTGGCTCCAACTGGGTGAGAGCTCTGAGCCCTCCTCCCAGAGGTACCTGACCCCTACCCCCACCATCCCACCCGGTTCCCCTGGGGAAGCAGGTCTCAATTGGGCCCTCATTAGCTCTTTCTAAATTTATTTATTTATTTACTTATTTTTAATTTTTAAAGAGAGGAGAAGGGAGGGAGAGAAACATCGCTGCATCTCGCACGCTCCCAACTGGGGACCAGGCCTGCAATCCAGGCAGGCGCTCTGACCAGGAACTGAGCCAGTGACCTTTCGGTTTGCCAGACAACACCCAACCCACTGAGCTATACCACCCAGGGCTAATTTTTATTGATTGATTTAAGAGAGAGACATATAGACAGACACTGATTTGTTGTTCTACTTACTGATGCATTCATTGGTTGCTTTTTATACGTACCCTGACCGGGGATTGAACCTACAACTTTGCCATATCGGAACAACGCTCTAACCGACCGAGCTACCCAGCCAGGGTTCATTAGCTTTTAGGCTGACCACCTCTCTAGCCTGGCCTTCTCTAGGTGACCACATACCTTGCTCCCCTCCAAAGGCACCAGTGACTCCCGATGACGACGATGACGGTGACACCGTGAAGAGCCAAGTCTCAGCTCTGAGGCCCGGTGCTCATTTGGAACTCAACTTCCCTCTCTGCCCCGCCCTTCTCCCTGACGGCCGCCCCCTCCAGCGAGGGGCAAGGATCACAGCTGTGTGCAGGGGCAGCTCACCTGGCCAAAGGCGGCTCGGGCCTGCTCAAACCCTCCCACCTGCAGCCGTTTCTTGACGAGGTCCAGGGGGTACGTAAGAGTCTTGCTGATGACTCCGGCTCCGCTGCCACAAAGCAGGTTTTTGAGGTTTTCTGACCCAGAAAAGTGGGATTGATGGGAAAACGAGAAAAATGCAGTTTAGGCTGGACAACGTCAAGGTCATCAGCTCTATCCTGCACCACAAAATAAAAGCCCACTAGCATTCTTGCTCTCAGAGGAATTTAATCCAGGAACGAGAGAACCAGACACAGCCACTTATGGCAAGAATGACCATGGACCAGGCGGGACAGGCTGGGGGCAGGATGGACGGGAGCCGTTACCAGTCATCTCCCTGGCCCGAGGCCACAAGGGCCTGGGCCCTGAGATGTCGCTCAGTTCAGGCTGACGAGGGAGCGGGGTTGCCCCTCCTTCTCCACATCCTTCCAAGACAAAAACCAAGCAAAACACACAACCAAAAAGCAGCCAGCCTGCAAGTTGGACCTGTGACCAAACTGAAAACCACGGCCAGCAGTTGGAACTAGATGTTGGTGGTGCCACTGACGGGCGAGGCCAGGGCTGGGAGGAACAGACACCCATGAGCGGGTGCGTTTCGGAGCCAGGTTCAAAGACCTGTGGCGTCTGAGCTTCTGACAGGAAAACCTTGTTTCCTGCGTGACTCAGAAAGACACGTTACAGCTCTGGCCGTCTCACCGTTTTTCGCTCCTTCAGCAGGCGTGACCCACTCCGACAGGCGCTTCAGGGAGTTGTAGAAGGCGAACTGGAACCCGGCGTAGGGGAAGACGGCGATCAAGGTGGGGTTCAAGCCTTTGTAGAAGACCAAGGGGCCCTCGGCCCTGTACATGGTGGCCACAGCATCCCGCAGGGTCTTATACACCTGCACAGCACACGCACCACTCGGGTGAGCACAGTGAGATCACAGCCCAGCACAGGCAGGTCCCCAAGTCACTGCCAGGAGCCTTACTTCTCCTGCCCAGAGGACAACCCACACCCTGGACAAAAGTCCCCGGGGTGACTCCCCTTCCAGCTACCGTATTTTGCCGGGTAGAATTCACTCCCGTGTGTAATGCGCACCTGCAGTTTTGGGTGAGTTATACATGGGGTTATTATACCTGTGGCATGTAGTCATTATACCTGTGTATAATGTGCGTCCTTATTTTTCCCCTCGAAAAGTGTGCACTGTACACAGCAAAACACGGTATTTACATGACCAATCCATCTGCATGAGTGCGCAAAGTGTGTGTCCTGCGAAACGCACAGGCCGAGATGCCCCCCCGCCCCGGGTGACTAGGCACACAAATTATCGCACAGCTATCGAAAGGAAGACAGGATCATGGTGTAACTGCTACAGCAGGAGGCGGCAGTCCATGTGCCTGACAGGCACTAATCTCCCCAAGTTCACAGCCAAACGCAGAAGGGCAGGCAGCATTTGTGGAGGAAACAAATACCTGCAGAGACCGCCCCCCCCAGCCCTGCCCCATGCAAGGGTAATAGTGACTCCCGCCCTGGCCCCGCCCCCGTTCCTCCCTGACGGTGATGAGCCTTGTTCCGTGTCCTGTGTATCCTGGGTGGACGTCACATGCTTTGCCATTTTGCACTGTGCACTCGTACGCAGTTTATGCTTCAACAAACCCGAGGGAAACAGGCGAACTGGAGAAGAGCTCCCAGGAACAGACGTGCGCTAGCAGACGTTTCACAAACTCAGCGGAGGCCCCGATGACAAAGGTGAGAAAGCCCCCCGGAGAGCAGGACAGAAAGGACAGAAAGACGAAGAGAGCCGGGCAAGGGGGGAGAAAAGCTCAGGCAACTGGACGGCCGATTCTGGACGTCCCACTGACACAAAGGACAGAAAGAAGGAAAAGAAAAAACAGGGGGTGGGGGTGGGCAGGCAACTGCGCAAATCATTCAGGACCACGTTCCAGGCATGGAGAACACTGTGCAGACCGAAAGGTCCAGGAAGTGCCCATCCATCACAATGGATAAGGGACCCACACCAGGGCACATTTCTAGAATGCCAGGGATCAGGAAACATTCTGAGAGCTCCCAAGGGGGGAAGGGAAGAAGGGAAGATGGCTTCTGTGTAAAGGATCAGTGATCAGAACGGTTCTCCTCAGCAGCACTGAGAGCCACCTACAAATTCTATGCCCGGATCAGCAGTCAAGTGGAAGGGTAAAATAAAGGCATTTTCTATCAAGACTCCTCTTGGGAAAATGAAAGAGAAGACATGGTATCCAACAAGAGAATTCCTGGCCACAGTCACAGAGCAGACAGTCCGGACCAAAGCCGGGGAGAATGGCGCCGGCCTGGGGACTCCCGGAGGGCTCCACAGTAACTCGGCCCTGGCGGCCCTGGCGGCCCTGGCTGACCCTATCCACAGAGGGTTTGAGGGCGAATTTGCATTAAGCGTGTAGAAAGCTAAACAAATAAAACACACAGCCTTTCCTAACTTTGGGGAAAACAAAGCTATAAAAGAAAATGTAATCATAATCTATTTTAAGGCTCAGCAGTAACAACATCTCCATAATTGTAATGGTATCAACACCAAGGACTGATTCAGCCGGCATCTACTGATCAGTCATACAGTCATCAGAGCGGGGAGGACACTCCAGCACACGGGCGATGGTAAAAGAGCTAAACCCTCATCTTCCACAGCAGTGGCCAGGGGTTACTGTCAACGAATAAGAAGGAAGGAGGGAGGGAGGGAGGGGAAGAAGGAAGAGGAAGGAGACAAAGGGGCCGGTGCAAGCATGCTACTCAGGACCAGAAGGTAAATAATGAAAGAAACAGCCACAAGCACTACCAGTGGGTGCCTCCGGGTGGGTGTCAGGGGTGAGGCTGGTGTTATGATTCACGAGGAACCGCCCATCTATACACCTCACACATTGTTGATTTTCTTGTCATTTGAGGGTTTACAATATGGATGCTACCCTTCTAAGGAAGGCGGAGCCCTGCAGTTCTGAAACAGGTGTCTTCACCTCACTTTCATGCATAGGCAATTTTCTGGTCATTCTAGAATCTAGAATCCAACATCTCAATCATCTAAACCAGACAGGTAATATGTGATTCTCTCTTTTTTAAAATGGATTTTAGCCAGACAGAGACGTCAATTTGTCCCACTTATCTATGCATTCATTGGTGGCTTCGTGTTTGTGCCCTGACCCAGGAGTGAGCCCGCACCCTTGGTGTATCAGGGTAACTCTTCACCCCCAGTGAGTGACGCAGCCGGGGCCACGATTCTCTTTAGTTAATCCTGTCTTCACTTTCTCCTCATCCACATTTACTACATGTTGGAAAGTGACAGAGAGGACTGTAGCATTCCCAGACAGAGAAGTTGAAGGACTGTCACTGGCCACCTTTTGTCACCCTAGCCACCTGGTTGCTGAGGCCCACCCTTCCCCTCCACTCACCTCCCAGGGGCCCTTGTCTCATTTCTCCTCCGCTTTCCACCGAAGTGCCCTACAGAGTGATCTTGCTCTCAGTCCCCCATCATTTCGTTCCAGTCTGTTTCCAGGGCACTCTGCCCTCCTCAACCAAAAAAGTCGTCAGGATGTCTCCTAAACAAAAGGGCTCCCCAGCCCAGGATGGCCACCCCAGGCAACAGGAACAACCAGCAGAACGGAAACCAGTTATTCTTAACTGGTCCCAGACTGAATTCTTGTGCAAAGCATCATTCCCCAGCAACAATGTTCTAAAGCAGAAGGGGGACGGCAGAAGCATCATTCTTCCTTGGCTGGGAACACACGTGCACGGCGTGCACACCCGACACTATGG